TGTTCAAACACCGGACTGTTTCGGCGCGGTTCAATTACACCGCGTCGTTCACAGGTACGTGTGGTGCCAGTCTGGCCATTTTCATTGCCTCTCTCTCGAACCGGTCACGCTGTGTCCGTGCCGCCGGCCGTGGATTTTTGCAGGCGCGTTACCGGTACCGTGCGCGCAACGTGTTTTTTTTCGTTCGTCGTTGCTTAACCGTTGGTCGACGCCTTTTGCGTCGCCGTGCTTTTTAAAATTTGTATAGTGTGCGACGAGCGGTTTTTAATTCCGTGTGCCGCCTATATTATTTCGTGTGCCGCCACTAGTCACTACATTGTTGTGTGCCGCCGCTGTAATTGCGAACCGTTGGTAATATTTCGTGTGCCGCCGCTACGGTTTGTCGTCTCCGTGTGCCGCCACTACCACGTGGGCCGCCGTCAATTTCGTGTGCCGCCGCTACGGTTTGCCGTTTCACGTATGCCGCCACTATCACGTGTGCCGTTGGTAGTAATTTTGAGTGCCACCGTTAACCTTTTGTGTGCTGCCACTATCATCGTGTAACGCCGCTTGTAATTCCGTGTGCCGCCACTACCTCGATCGTGTGCCGCCGTTGCGTAAGCGTGCCGCCGATCCAAATTGCGTGCCGCCACCATCTTATTGTGTGCCGCCGCATCAACCGTGTGTTGACGATTATAGTCGCGTGCTGCCGCAGCGATTTCCGCGGGACAGCTGGATGTCGATGTCTTCGCAATCGATCCGGAGGAGTCTCAAGTCTCACTTTCATCAGCGTACCAGGTCAATTGATTTATAATTTATGTGTTGATATTTATGTGTTGATATTTGTGTGTTCATTTGTATTTAATTATACCTACTGTAAGATTGGGGCGCCCTCCCTTTGTCATATACATAGTATTATATATTGCGTTAAGTGTATACAATATAGTAATTTTTTTTGGTGTTAATCCACCGTTCATAATTATTTGGTGTTTTGTTGTTATATTATTGTGGTCACCTATACTCGATACTACAGCGCAAGTCACGGCAAACAACTGCCACAAATCGTAAGAGTTGTCGTGGCGCAACACCTCTATAACCTCAAAATATTTTCATGTTCATTCCCGTATGTTAAGCATAAATGGCCTATCCATTCTTTAATATCTATGCATTTAAGTGTACATTTTTTCTATCAGTTAAATTATATTATACATAGAATTTTATTATATATAATATAAAACATATACTAAATCTAAATTGATTTACAGGTTGACGACTATTAACAGGGGTACGACACTCCGTGAATTGGTCGGATCGGGCGATTGTGGCCTTGAAAATGGTCTCTAAAGGGGCGTGGCATACGTTACAGTAAACAGTGGAAACAATTTTTCTATGCTGGAAACAACCCGACCCCGCGCAGAATACCCTGCCACTTAATCGGAAACGGTTTTTCAATACGGGTATAACATCATGTTGGTAAACGGAAACAGTTTGAATGTTCGGACTTCAGATCATAGGTAAACACTTCACCCATCAGCTGATCGAGTGTCGCTTCTATATTGTTCTATGCTATTAACAATACTGATCATGAAAAATAACGGAAAGTAAAAAAATTATCAATCCTAGTAATATCCAATAAGGTATAAATTTCTTAAAAAAAAAATGAATAAAAGGTCGTAGTTATTGGATGTATAAATTTAGGCTAGTTAGTAGTTATAAAGTATACCTACATTAAGTTCCCGTCACCACTGCTTTGGGATGAGAGCGGGCAAATGGGTGACTCTCCGCTGTACAATAAGTCACAAGTGACCTGTGAGTCGCTGTAATGGATGGTATTACTTAAATTTGAATTCAATGATATTACTTATATCATTGTATAAGAAAAACGATTTTGAGAGGAGACGGTTTGTAGGGAATTGAATATTTTATATTATATTTTTAAATACTGTTTGCATTAATACGATAGCCAGTAGGTCGATTTAATATTATTTGCATAGGTATTATCATATTTGTATAATACAACAATATACTTAAGAAATTTCGAGTACCAATGAATAATATTTTTAAATTTTAAAAAAAACTAAAATCGTTAGACCTTTAAATACTTATAAAAAAAAAAAATAGTGAATTTGTATTTTTAATATTTTTAAAACACTTGTTTACAAACACATCGGCACCCTTGTATTACATTTTTAAGCTTAATGGCAGAACGAATAACATTTTACTGATGTAAAGAGACAAAACAAATTTAAAAAAATAAAAATTGAAAATATCAATAAACAGCTAAAAAGGAGTAAAATTATTTTGAAAACTTTATCAAGTATGTAAGTGGTGTAATAAACATATACATATATGATGAACATTTCAAATATCCACAAATATTCGTTTGTGAATTAGAATAAAATAAGAAAATAACTACATTGCAAATTGTTGCTAATTGGCTGCTAAATGTTGACATGAAACTCAAGTCGAAATTCGCATTTTTTAAATACGGGGTGGGGCTGGGGACATGTGCAAATTTCGGAAACCTCTTTTACGGACGAAATATTTGTTTGCAAATTTCGACAACTACCTTGCAAATCGTTGCTAATTGGCTGCTAAATGATGGTTCAAGAAAAATTAAAAAAATGTGTTTTCGATGAGATGGGTGGGGCTGGAGACACATGTCTCCAGCCCCACCCATACATTTTTTTGTTTTATGGTTTTGCTAATGGCTTGCAAATTGTGAAACCAGTCTTGCAAATTGTTGCTAATTGACTGCTAAATGTTGACTTGAAAAAAATTTCAAATTTCAGAATGGGTGGGGTTGGGGACATGTACGTGCAATTTAATATATAGCACTCAACTTTTTCATCATCAGTAAATACTAATTGTTTTTCAACAACAGCCATTTTATTGTAACCATTTGGACGCACAAAAAAAAACACCATTGAACTATCTTCACATACACTATTCCAAGCAATAGGTAAGACTATATGTTTGTAATTTTTCAATAAATCATCATAGGAACTAAACAAGTCAGATATTGGAGACTAATAAAAAAATTAAAAACAGATCACTAAATATTTATTTAGTATTTTTGGGTTCTTTTTTTTTAGGGGGACTATTTTATTTATATTTAATTACTTCATCATTTTGTGGATATGGTAACTGTTCTGGCAAGATTACATCTTCAGCAGACCACTTAAGTTGTTTTCTACATGATGGTTGAAGTGGTAAAGACTAAAAAGAAATCTTAGTTTAAAAACACTTAATACATTCATACCTTATTTTATTTTTCCAACTTTATAAGAAACTTATAGGTACTATAATTAGGATTGTAAGTTTAAATAGGTAGGTAGTTAAAAATTCAAATTATTATTTAATTAACCTCATGCGACGTAGATTGTAGTATATCAGAACAATAATAGTTACTAGTTGACGCTAAACATTTGTTATATTCTTCAACACTTAAAGAATTATTGGTAACAGTAACATTTTGATCTAAAAATAAGATGAATTGAATAGTTTTTTTTTTTATAATATATACATATATCCATGTAGTTAAATCATTACACTAACCATTTATTTCAAAAATTGAAGGAATAGCATTTATTTTTAGCCTAGGTTTAGTAGCAGACAGCGGAATAACAAAATCAGCAGAAGAAAATGAACCATTATTACTATCTGTAGAACTAGAACTAAAAGAAAAAAAAATTAATTTAACATTTTTTCATTTCATTAACAAATAATTTAGGATAAACAATGGTAAGGATCAATAATTATCATAATTATTCAAATAATATAATACCAGACAGAATACAAACACAAGTTACCTCTGTTTAACTGGCATATTGCAACCAGAATAATTCCTTATAACATCTTCACTACTAAAGTGGAGTTCACACAAATATTTCGCATTAGTTTGTTTGTGGTTAACTTGCGATATAATTTTGGACCATAGTTCAGAAATATCTTTATTTTTCGGCACTTGAAATATCGAATACTTTTTAATATTGTGCTTTCGACTTTTACACAGCAACACAGAACACTTGTTAACCATTTATACGAACTTTATATCGAATACCGTATGCGTTAACTGCCGTTAAGAATGTACGGTACAGAATGATATTAGGTGTTAAAATAAACATAATTATATTTTGTTTTCGAAATAATATGTACCTATATTATATTTATAGCATACAAATTTTGTATTTTATAAATTAGGTTGCAAATTTATTCTAATATATTGCGCCAGCTCCGATTAAAGGTAAGAGGTAACATTTACTGACCGTACCCTTCATACCACAAAATGATGTGTGTGTATGTGTGTGTGTGTGTGTGTGGGTTTACATATAATACCTTATGGGATCCAACATATGGAAAATGAGCAGCGTTGTGAGATCATTTTTCGTAGTGAGATCCATATGACCTGATCTCGCAACGTTTTCATTAAATACGGCAAAAAACCGGACGGCTACATTCTGTTAGAGGTGCGAATAAGATGCACTTTCATATTATACGGTCACGGCAAAATTCCGGCGCCGTGCCGTTCAGCTGCCGTCTACTGCCACTACAGTATACGGCAGCCGGACGGCGCGATAAGCTTAGTGGCGTACGTGACCAAATGCACGTTTTCACATTATACGATTTTATTCGTGCGGCAAAGTTCGACCAGTCCCGATATCAGTCACTTCGAGACACGATTAAACTTAAACTTACAACATATTGACAAAATAATGGCAGAATACGATGTTGAATTTTTAATTAATCTCGTGCAAGAGAGACCAGTGTTGTGGGACAAAGGTTTAGAACTATACAAAGATAGAAATGCTACAAAAAGTAGAGAAGTTTTAATAGAACTTAAAAAGGAATTTGATGCTCTTGATGATAAGAAAAAAAATTTGTTTGGTAAGTATATTTTTACTAATACTACAATAATAAAATATTATTTAAAATATAAATTCTTAGTTTATTAAAAAATTGAAATACCGATATAAATTAGTTAATTTGTTATAATATTCACTGGTATTTCAAGTTTATATTTACGACATTTGCCATGGTAGACTTCCGACGTCAGAAACAAAATATTTACACAATGTATTTCTTATGTTATTTGGTGTAAGGCCTCCTCTTACGTTACTCTCATCAGATATATCTGACAAACCTGTGATTGACATTGTATCCAAATCGTTATATACATCCCTCTCAAGTACAAAATTATGTAAAACAGCATTTACAATTTTGACAGCAAATTCTGGTTGTACATTAATTGGTCGATGAAATACCCGCCACTTATTTGTGAGGATCCCAAAAGAGCATTCAACAAATCTTCTTGCTCTAGATAGTCGATAGTTAAAAATTCTTTTATCGACTGTTAGATGTGTTCCACCAAAAGGTCTCAGTAAATGTTTATGTAAACCAAATGCTTCGTCTCCAATGAAGAAGTAAGGTAGTTTTGGACTGTCTATTCCGGGCAAAGATTTTGCTTCTGGCAATTGTTGTTCATTATTTTCTATTGACTTCCACAAACTAGACCTCTTAAACACTGAAGAATCACAGTCTTTACCATAACTCCCAACGTTAGTGTACACAAATCGATATTTGGAATCTGCAACTGCCATGAGAACTATAGAATTATAGAACTATAGAATTATCCTTTATAATTAAAATACATTGACCCACTGTTAAGTGGGCAAGTTAAACGGATATGTTTGCCATCGACGTCTCCTATGCAGTTCGGAAAATTAGCTCTATTCTCAAATCCAGAAGCAATTAACTCCCATATTTCTTTCGTTGGTGTTGGAATAAAATCCTCTCTCATTAGGCACCAAATTGCTGTACATACTTCTTCTACTATTTTACTTGCCGTTGAAATTCCTATTCTATAACTGAAATGTAAATCGGTGAATGTACAACCACTTGCAAGATACCTAGAAAAAATTTAAATTATGAATAGCATATAGTATATACAATTATTTTTAGATTCTGAACAGAGCGATGGATGTATTGATTTTACAATGACGTGGGTGCTTTATTTATTTATTTTTGTGTCGGTCATCACGTTTTGAAGTAGTAAAATTTTTTAGACTTATCAATATTCTTTATTTGAATATTTGATAAATATTTTTTCTTTCAGGTCAAGGAGTTCTTAAAAGATGGACTAATCTTCGCGATTCATTTTCAAAATATTTCAAAAAAGACAAAGAGTGCAAGAGAAGTGGCTCAGGAGCAAAAAAAATGAAGAAATATGTATATTTTGATCAATTGCAGTTTTTACGAAAAATTTATGTTGAGCGACCGACTTCGAATAGCCTGGAACCGGAAGCGAGAAACGATCCAGAAAATGAAAAAGATGACATAGAGCCACAACTGCAAGCTTCAGGTAATGTTTCAGATATTTCTAGGGAAAAAATAATTAATCCACAAAAAGGAAGGAAAAATAAAAGTCAGAACGACATTGATTTAAGAATTATAAAATTACTTGAAGAAAAGGATCAACCTTGCAATAAAATGGCTTTTTTACAAAGTCTCTTGCATCACTTGCAACAATTTGATAATCAGGACTATTTACAATTTCAAATGGGTGTTTCGAAAGTTATCGAAAATATCAATGAAAGTAAGAAAGAAAAACATTTTGCTACATCTTCTAATTTCGCACCTTATCAGCAACTTTATGTAAATACATCAAATCCTACTCAATATCATCCTCGACAATTGTTCAACACTCCCAACCACTCCAATGTTTTCTTATCTCAGCCATATTCAACTGGAAATCATCAAATTCCATCATGCAGTAAACAACTGACTCCAATTACTACCAACCAAGAGGTCTCTTACATAGAACTTGAACAGAATAGCCCTTCTGTAAATTCAGTAGCATCCTCAATAACAGAAAGCATTGATTTTAGTACATTTTAATATATTACATTTTTTTTTTAATTGACATGTAAAAAAACAATGTAACAGTCAAACATTTTTCTTTTATTTTTTATTGTTATTTATAAAGTATTATCAGTTATATTAAAATAATAAAGATCCGGTTTTTTTCTATTAAATTGTTTTTACTTTTATTTTCTAGCGTATTTTTTATAAGTATTATCAGTTAACAGTATAATTATATTAAGTTAATTAATTACTAACCTCAATGTTATCGATAACATCTCAACTGGTTGTATACAATTTCTAAATTGCGTGTTTTCACGTTGAAGCTTATCCCGGAGTTGTCCATGTAATACACCAAAAGAAGCATATGACATACGGAAATAATTAAAAAACTTATTTTCATCATTTCGTAAGTCAATAAATAAAGTATAAAATAATCCCACTTCCTCTCTTCTAGCATTAATAGGATGTACCCAAAAAACACGATTTTTCTGTTGTCTTTTGCGTCGACGATTGTATAACCATAGTGCAATCATTTGTTTGTCGTTCATTGTAATAACGCGCGACTTGAGTGTTCTTATAAAACTAAACCTGTACAAATGTATACCAAGCATAGGAAACCTGCATAATCATGTTTTACCTTACGGTCAAAACCGTATAATGTGTAATGAGCCACTGATCCGGTTTATGCCGTCCGGTTTTTTGCCGTACGGTCAAAACCGTGTAGTGTGAAACGAGCCTGAGTGTTTTTAATAAGGATTTACGAAAAATTGGACGGATCTAATAAAATACTATAAATAAGAAAATGCGTGTAAATTAGTTTTGGTGTGTGTAGTGCAGAATGTTCCACAATCGACGGTGTGTGTACGAAAATTATTTTAATAGACACACTCCTATATTATGTGCTCGCCTTTTCCGAGATCCGAGTATCGGCAACGTCGCATTTTGATGTGTGTTCTGTAATAATTTTCATTTCATCGATCTTATTAAATCCACTTTATCTTTCTAGAAAATGCATAGTTAATATTTTATATTTGTATTAAAAGGATGTCGGCGTACTATTTGTTTTCTCTGGCCCACGCACAACATCGACAAAACGTATTTACGGAGAATCGTTTTTTTTTATGTTTTTAAGTAATCTTAGAGTAAAATCACCCATTACAAAAAATATAGAGAATAATATTTTTGAGGGAATGACTTATTGATTTCATATTTTATTGTTATTTGACTTTGTATTAGATTTTCAAAATAAATAAAAAAATTTAACCGAATTCTCCGACGTAGAGAAATCCGTCGTAAGCGAAACGTTATGGGTTTGTCTGATATATGATTGCTGATTGCCGAAAAGTTGACACGTGTGTGCATGTCTAGGATTTGATTTGGGGGAAAGGGTGAATGTTTATTTGTTAGTTTTTATCATGATGATTTTTTATATCCTAATCAATGATAAATAATTCAAGGGCATACTTAGATTATGTGTGTAATGCAGCTTATTTATGTAGGTACGTTGGATCCCATAATGTATCATTAATTGTAATTTGTAAACAATGTTCTAACTTCTAACATACAATCATGACAAAACATTATATTATTATGAAATCCACCCAACGGTCAACAATAATTCTGCCGTTAGTCTCACTAAAGATTTAAAACTAATTAAAGTTGAAAGTTCCTACATTTCAATGTTCGTGTATAAAATATATAATATATTAATATACTATGTAAGTATATTGGTATATTATGTGGAGATGCGTGTGCCACATCGTTTAGAGATCCGACATGTCACAGTCCGCGAGTGTGTAAAATGTTATGTGTATTATACTATTATTAACCTACCTATAATACCTTATGGGATCCAACGTATAGAAAATGAGCAGCGTTGTGGGATCCATACGAGTATACGACCAAATCTCGCAACGTTTTTTATAATACGGGTTTACGAAAAATTGGATGGATCTAATAAAGTACAGAGATCACTATAGAGTATAGTGTCATTAGTGTGTAACTGACCTTATAAGATCCGGTGTGTGTACGAGTGTCTATGTGTGCTGAATACTGTGTAGACTTAGGTACTGACATTGTAAGATCCACCTTTGATTACTTGGGTGTATTCAGCTAATAGGAAATTACTTAATGAGATCCAACGTATTGGTTTGTGTGTGAGGCTGTGAGCATATACAGTTGTAGGTACTAGCAGGTACTATCTTTATGACTTTATGGGATCCGGTTTTCTTAATAAACTATATTATGGATTTAGAATTAGTCCAACTGCTATACCTAATAAAATATAGTTATTGCGTCTTCGTGTGGTTAGTCCTACCTATAAATTAAAATAAAAAATTTAATAATTATTAATATTGTCCTCTTGCACACAGTGGGTGGAATTTCGAAAATAGCTGGACAAAAATAATAAATGTAACATAATTTTGTTTAATGTTTTTTTACGTATAATTTACAGGAGTTGAATAATATTGAACATTGGTTATAAGTCGTCTTAAATATACATTAAACAAATTTAACATAATAATATTTAACATTTAATATACTATTTTATTCAGATTCTGAGTTTGGAATAGCAACGGTTTTTTCTCTAGGTATTGAATCTGAACTAGTTAAAAGAGTTAACACTTCTGGGGATATTGGCACCATTTTTTTGGAAGGATTTGGCCGTATTGATGATATAACCGGATCAGAAGTAACGATTAAACGATGAAGAAGATCTATATTTGTATCAATCCGACTGGTTTTCCTAGTGAAATGTTCTCGAAAAGATCTGTAATGCTTATTTCTCGCTTCCGAGGCTTCCTCAGATAGTTGCCCAATTGGTAGCAAACAATGTTTTATAACATCGGCACCGTGCAATAAAATTTTGTGGACACTAGCTGGCATATAGTACCCGTTATAATATTCTATGTAAAGTTTTGCCGTATCCATAGCATACTTTTCAAATGCCGAAATATTTATATGAAAACCACTTGAAATTGTTGCAAGTATTACTCCAAATCTAGATATTAGTTCTACATTCAATCCGGTGATTTCTGCTGATAATAAAGCATTTTCAAAAAACCTCCGAGCAGTATTACCATCATTGCTTGACCCACAACCTTGTTTAGGTTGATCAATAATAATACCAACTTCTTTTCGAAAACGATTGATTATATACGTTTTTCTACGTTTAAATGATTGTTCGTCTTCCGGGCTTCTCATTTGCCATTTCTTCACTTCCAACCTGTACGAAATATGCATGAGACATTCAAAAAATCGTATATGTGCATGGAGAGTAGACAAACCAAACGAATAAGTCGATACATTATTAGTTCTATTTTTAGCTAATTCTAAGTTATTAGTATATTTTGGAGATACTCCACAAATATAACAAACTTGGGAACTTGTGTCGGTTATTGAATTGCAAACTTTTCCATCAATCATGGTGAGCAACAATTTATTATTGATTTTTAGATTTGTTGAGCCAATAATCACTTTTGTTGGTTCAAGGTCGTTAATTTGATTTTCAATATACATAACTTCATTTTTTATGGTATCTTTTGTTTCTTTTTCAAATAAAAACCGAACTGGTCTGCAAAACTTAGTTGATGATGGACGTGGATTTTTCCATAATGTTATTTTTTCACTATTGGATTTTTGAAGTCCATGTATTTGAATTGGTACAAGAGATGTCATTAAAAGATTTGAATCACAAAAAGTATCATTAGTGAATTTCTGTTTGTATTCCCTTTGACCAGAACTTCCGTCAAAACCCCATTTATAAATACATTCTACTGAATCTGGTTGTATATCATTTATACATTGCTGAAGAACTATATCTTGTACTTTGACGATTCGGGAAGTTGTAATATTTAATATGGCCTGCAATTTAATTTCCGCAGATGATTCGGTAACGACAATATTGTGGTCAGGTGGATAACATTCTTTTTTTACACTTTTTATAACATCGTAAGAAGGAAAAACATACACTTCTTTCTCTTTTAGTCGTTGGCGTAATGTCATATATTGTTGCTTGGTCAAGTTTAAATCTACAAGAATAGCCAACGCTTCTTCTGGAGAAAACATTTTATTATTATTAGACTTACGCATGGACATTTTATATGCTTTTTTAAATTTATGAGCTCGAGTTGGTGTTTTTTCGGTCACTTCTTGAATAACTGACGAAGCATGCCTTTTACCAGAACGGTGTAAGCTTAGACGAGAAGCAAATGCTAATTCCTGAGAACTATGCGAGTCTAACAAATGTTGAACCTTTCTTTTTTTTGTTTTTTCACAGCTTTCTTGAAAAGGTTTTTTGGACGACCGCGGCCTTCAGTCATAGTATTATTAGGCTCATTTTTTTTAAAAGAAAACATTAATTTAGTATCCAGCCAGAGAAAGTATTTTAAATACAATTTATTTGCACTACGACCACACTCTTTCCATTTTTTTTGAAGGCTTGATAAAAAAGTAAAAATGACCGAAGGAATATTTGTCTGAATACTGCGTACATTTAACTTATTTTCTACATATTCAATTATGATTTTTCGAGATTGGGCATCCAGTGGTCTTATATTTCCATTTTTTCTTAAAAATTCAAATAATTCTCTACGCATAACACCTGACAAAAATGATAATTATTTTAATAGAAGCAACGAAGAGCAAACAAAATATACATAAAATTAAATTTTATGAACTGTATAACAATTTGGCATACTATTTATAGAGGTCAGTTTTGACCATTTTTTTAAAACTACCATTAAATTTAAAATATTTAAAATTAAACATATAATTATGCATTGATTATTTATAATACTATTAAATGGGTGGTTAAAATTATTATTATGAAACATAAACTCTAATACATACCTTCATTAGTAACCTCCATCGTAAATGAAATATAAAAACCGGAAATTGAATGACTATTACCACTTGAATTCTCAAGAGCAAATGAGGCAAAATATTGTATGACTGACCAATTATTATCTTATCGCAATATATAAATATTATTATCTGTCAAAAACTGCTGATAATTTTTGTATTTTGTTGACTATAACATTCTTATAAACGAATAACATCAATTTCAAAACAATTATGAGTTAAATGAAAATTATATTTTTGTCCAGCTATTTTCGAAGTTCCGCCCACTGTGTCTTGTGGGGGATCGTGTCGTACATTCGTCCACTCGTAGGTAGTTCATACTCGTAGGTACAACAATCGTGACTGCCGACTGGTACCCTTCTTATAAAATTGAATGAAATACATACGTAAAGTCAAAAGTGTATTATACTCGGGTCTTACGGATCTCGTAACGGTCTTATTTATATTTAGTATTTTGGTGTACAGTGATTTAAAAAAATAAATCAATTTATGTAATATGGATCTCGCATAGTACTCTATCCACCTAGTATGTGTGAGATTGTTATTATTATAACATATTTAAACGGATATCGTAACGAATGTCGAAAAATAAAATATGTATTTATATAATGTGGATCTCGCAGGGTACTTTAGCTACCTTGTGTATGTGAGATTGTCATTACTTATTATGATAATATAATATTTAAACAGATCTCGTAACGAATATCGAAAAATAAATCAATTGATAGGTATAATGTGTATCTTGCAGAGTAATTTAGCAACCATGTGTGTGTGAGACATCCTTACATGATAACACTATTATATTTAAACAGATCTCTTAACGAATTGTAACACGATTTACATACACTATATTGTAATACGCAAATAGTATATACTACTAAGGTCAATGGATCTCGTAACGTTCAGCGTTCTTATTTATATTTGGTGTATACTAATTCTCCTGGGCCCGTAAGCATTGGTTACGATTTAACTGTTTTAAGCTATTTACCTGTAATAAAATTAGAGTAAACCAACTACTGGTTATAGCAGAGATTATGGGATAAAATTGTAAAAATGGTTTGATAAGTGGAAGCTTATAGACGTTTCAACGAATCACGGATCATATAATATATCTTGTAAGACCGTGTACCTACAGAATATTTGTTCGAGTTTTAATCTGATGCAGTGATATTATCTACATACAATGTATAAAAATGAATAATTGACGTTATAAGATCCAATATACACACGACACACGTATTACTATGAAGTATGGGTCATATCGTAATTTTAACTGGTGTGTTGAGTGTTCTATAAACGTGTGGTCTACAGTCGATACTCGATAACTATAATAAGCGTAATATTGTTAAGAGATCCGAAGGGTATTGCTATGAAGACGTTATGGGATCTTCCGACTGGTATTTGCCATTTTAAAATAAAAAAATAACGTTGAGAGATCCTAATTATGGATAATAACATATTAATGTATTATCATTGTCAGTGTGAATCAACTACGGAATTGTCCGACGTAGGAGATCCGTTATGTAGTGAAGTAGGTATCTTATATTATAATTATAATCGTTGATATTATTTTACTCGAAGTTTTTCTTCGAAACGTTATGGCATTATGGGTTTTCCCGCTATCTGATATTTTGATTACCGATTGCAGACCAGTTGACAATGTTGACATGACGTCAAGCGTGCATGCCTGGGATTTAGGTATAGATTACAGAGTTTGGGGGAAGGGTGAATGTTTATTTGTTGGTTCTTACCATGGTAATTATTAATAAACTTGCCAATGATAAATAATTCAAGGACATACTAAGATATTATGTGAGTAACGCACCTTGTTTATATACGTTGGATCCCATAACGTACCATTAAATGGAAAATTCTAAATGGTTCTAACTTCCAACATATCATCACAAAACATTACATCATGAGATCCAACAGCCAACAATAGTTACACCATCGAACCACGCTTTAAAAACCCGGTATAATACTGCATTGGGTATTATTTACATCGTAATGTTCGTATAGTGGGTTGAGCAGACGGGTATATTGGGTTGAGCATACGGGTATATTGGGTTGAGCATACGGTATAGTGGGTTGAGCAGACGGGTATAGGAATTTGCCAGCAGGATGAGGCGCCAGAACTCCCTTTTTTAACCTACTTACCGTATCCGACACAATGAGGTGAGTCCATCAGAAGCAAAGACCATAGCGGTCCAGAGGTTTCCCCTTCCAAGAACCATTAAGGCCGTGCAAAGCTTCTTGGGCCTAACCGGATATTTCCGCCGATTCATACGTGGATATTCGCAGATTGCGCTGCCGCTGAGTAATTTACTGAAACAGGGGGTGCCATTTCACATGGGACAGCCTCAGGAAGCAGCAGTGAATAGTTTGAAACAATGTCTCTCAGCATCGCCAGTACTTAAGATTTACAATCCTGAAGCTAGCAACACCGAGTTGCACACAGATGCCAGTCAATTCGGCTTTGGAGCTGTTCTGCTGCAGACCGACGATAGTGATGATCAGGGCTAGTGAGTTCATCTTGCTAAGTAGTATTTAATGCTAGGTGACATAGAAATCCATTTCAAGGTACTGTGGTTAAGTATGTGAAATTTTATGTTGCATATTTTTGCATATTTAGAGGTTTTTTAACTATTTGGCATATTTATGCGTTTTTCTATTTTATTGTGCATATTTTTACCGAAATTTGATCAAAATGCAATAATTTATATTTTTACACAGTATAAAATATATGGAAATTTTCGCAACATCAAATTATTAAAATAGGGCAGATAAAGTGATTACAAACGTATGTATACGAATGTATACGAATGTATTAAGCAATTAGTAGAAAACATGTTATATGAAAATAGTCTTATAGTCTTATCTGACTTATCTTTTTGATACGATACTTTTACAGAGGTTTACTGGTTTATTCTAGACTTAACAATATTTCGAAAATCTTATATATTTTTTAACTTCGTTTTGAAATTATTGATCATGCCGAAAAAAACTGTCATCGGCCTGTAGACTAAGACAATAATTAGTAAATGAATTTGGTGAAAATATATTCTCGGCCGACAGTAAAATATTATTTTGTAAGGTTTGCGAAGTAAAAGTCGCGAGTGTAAAACGCTTTAGTGTTGTGCAACATATTAATACTGAGAAACACAAAACATCACTTCACCGACAGCAATATAATAAAATATAACTTTTAATAAACTTTTAATAATATGAACGGACATTTTTTGTTATTCCAAAATTTACTTATAGTATTTTTATTTTTTAATCTACATATTTTTAGATTTTTAGTGCATATAAATGCATATTTTTGAACTTTTAAAGGCATATTTCAATGCATATTTTTCCAGCTTTTAGTGCATAAGTGCATACTTATTTGGGCATTTTTTAGAGCATGAACTCACTAGCCCTGGTGATGATAATCGATTACACCCCATCTGTTATATGAGCAAGAAAACGTCTGAGGCCCAACAGAAATTCCATAGTTATGAACTTGAAGTATTAGCGATAGTAGAGGCATTAAAGAAGTTTCGCGTTTACTTGCTGGGATTAAAATTCAAAATAGTGACTGATTGTGTCGCCTTTACCAAAACTTTAGAGAAGAGGGAACTAGCTACTAGAGTAGCCAGATGGGCGTTACTGATCACCGAATATGACTATATAATTGAACATAGGGCCGGGTCGCGGATGCCTCATGTTGATTCTCTGAGTCGGTATCCTATGTGCATGGTACTACACAGTGAATTCTTAGCGCGACTGAAGATTGCTCAGCAAGATGATCCCCATATACAGCCACTCACTATAGATGATCAAACTTTCACCAAAGTTGGTGGGCTAGTATATGAGATTCGGAACGGCCAAAATTTACTGTTGGTCCCAGGCAGGATGTAGAATGAGGTCATAAGGGACGCACACAACATTGGTCACTTTGGTATAATAAAGACTGAAACCCTGATTCAACGTGATTACTCCATTAGCGACCTGAAGAGTAAAATTGGTAAGATAGTGAATAACAGTGTCACTTGTATTTTGTTTAACCGTAAGCAAGGCAAGAAGGAGTTTCCTGCACAGTATAGATAAAGGTGACACACCGTTAGCTATGTGGCATATAGACTTTCTTGGCCCACTGACACCAACACCGAAGGGATACAGACACATTCTGGCTGTAATCGATGGGTTTACCAAGTTTTGCTGGTTATTCCCTACCAAAAGTGTAACGGCTCAAGAGGTCATTGAGAAATTGACAGTGATGGAGGATACCTTTATATAGAGGAGCTGCATTCACTACTAAAGACTTTGGTGACTATTGCTCAGGACGAGGGATTCGCCATATTCTCATAACAACAGGCGTACCAAGGGCCAATGGTCAAGTTGAGAGACTGAATACCATCATTATAAATGTACTGACAAAGTCTCAATAAGACTAATCAGTGTTACCGTCAGGTACCGAAAGTTCAGATGGCATTAAATGGGTCATATCAGCGCTCCATAGGCATGACTCCGTTCAAATTGGTTTTTGGGGTAGAAATGAATCACCCAGAGTACCAGTCAATCAAAGAAGCAGTGGAGCTTGAGTATGTCAGGTGTCACGAGGAAGGTCAAGAGGAAAACCGGAAGTATGCAAAGAAGCAGATACAAAAGGCGCAGATTCAACAGCAGAGCATGTTTAACAAATCCAGGAAGGAAGCCACAAGCTATCGCCTTGGGGATCTGGTCGCCATCAAAAGGACTCAATTCCTACCCACATCAAAGCTGTGCAAGAAGTTCTTAGGACCTTATCAGATTGTAGGACGTGAAGGTAATGAGCTTTATAAGGTACTCAAAGTGGGAACACAAGAAAAGCGGAGAAGATACAGCCTCCGAGGCGGACACTGTTCAAGGCGGGAGAGTGTGGGATGGTAACACTGATGACAGCCAGGCCGGACCAAGCCGAGGGGTTGACCTATCTATCAACAGTGATGTTGTGACGGTCGACGAGTGATGGTGTCGTTGTTGTGTTGTATTGTACTTGTTCGGTCCTCGTTGTTGTGTTATATTGTACTTATTCAGTCCTCGTTGTTATGTTATATTAAATTGAGTGTTCTGCCCGTTAAATCTATTTATTTACATTATTCCATTACTATAATCCCACATATATAATATATATATATATATATATATATGTACACACACACAAACACAATCAAATGGGAATACTTACATCTTCGTTTGACGAGCTTTCTCCAGTAACATTGGTATATGAAGACATTGTATTTTACCTTAAATAAAAATTTGTAAGTTAAAATTTTTAATATACTAGTTTTAAAACTAATACCAGATCAAAGTATATTACTTGTTATGTAGTCTTGTAACAGTGTGAAGCAACGATGTATCAAGTCCAATAGTTAATTTCAAGATTTAACACTGACTATAATCAATGTCTGCTGACTGTTGTTTATATACAATCTAATAAGACTGTGTGAGTGTGTAAGGTGATTATCGGTTTATGTATTATTGTCGGATAATTAGGTATAAATAAAATAAATGCAGTGTACTCATTTTGTTTTAGGCTTTCCACATTCAATTGAACATAGAGGTTGTTTGGCAGATTAAATATGTTAACTTTAAATAACTTTTGATTTAAAAAAAATGCCCGTTTGCAGTTTATAATCAGTCTAATATTATAATGTGATGTAATATCACATGATTATTTTATTTTCAGGTAAACTGCTAGATATAAATAAAATAAATGCAATGCAGCAATTTTTGTTTTTAGGCTTGCTACAATAATTGTTAACACTTTTGTCATCATTTTATCAGATTACCTACTTTATTCAATAATTAGTAAAGATTTATTTATAATTGTAAACTTTTTATCTACATAATATTAATTCCTATTCTATGTATACAAAAAAACATCAATACCTAAGTATAATAACTGCATCATCAGACCATCTAATATTAGTAATTTATTAATTAGTGCTGATGTGGTTCAATGATGTTCTGTATAATTTCAATAAATATGATAGTATATATAAATACAGATTCATTTTTCATTGGACTCTAGAGTTTGTTAGGTCTATGTTTACAGTTATTTAACAAATTTTTAAACATTTGTGTATGTACCAATTCATCTTCAACACGATATATTCAACGTGAACGTACCATTCAAGATTTGTTCGGCAAACAAGTAGATTAATACCTACTATTACATGTAAGTTTTAATCAAATAAAAATAAATATGTCTAACACTTAATTTCCAAATTTCAGTTTAATGAAATATTAAATATTAAATTAAATTGTGTTATGTAAAATTTATAAAGTATAACCAATAATCTAAAATTCAAATAAAGTTTAAAAAATAATAATTCAGAACTTTATGTTGTGTTTATAATATATTTGTAATACTGTAACGATCTTGGTGCTTGGTACCTACTATCGTAGTGCTGACAGTAGATAAGTGGCTACCAAGATGTTATAGTTGTAGGTCGCAGACACTTTATCTGATGTTGAAGTCGTGGTTGATGAATGAATAATAAGACAGTTGTTGTATATTGTGAATTTTATTATAACGTTCGATAATATTTCTAAGTCCAAATAATATTGTACAAAGTGACGTGAAGGTGCTTGCACTAACGGGTGCTAGTACACGTCTGAAAACAGGCCGATTCGGGCTCCCTTATATATGAGGTCCCCCGTACCCCTTGCCTACATATACGATATCTCGGTTCTCACGGATGTGATTTGTTGTGGACATTTATCCGGCCTACGCATTTACGACTGCATGTACTTCTACATTATGATTATTATATAATAATCTTTTTTACTCTTTTATATTTTGATTTCGTCGTATTCAGTTTTTTCTGTAAAATATTTCATCCGCTTATTTTTTAAACCCTGGTGTCCTTTATGTTCCCTAATCTCCCGGTTATGCCGGTCTACCGTATAGTATCATAACTATGCCCCTGTGGAATTTGGTTTTATTGTTACTGTCAAATGTTACTACGCTTAATTAAGAATCCCGATTAATCGTATATTATAATAATAACTATGTACTTATGAAATTGGTATTACTCCGTAGTAGCTGGCTTACTACAATACTATGATTGTTAATATATGTTTTTTATTTACAGGTAAATATCATTAGTAAACTATTAGTTATATAACTAATTCTCAAATAATTTGTGTATGTAACAATTCATTTTTTTACTACCGCCTAATTGACGTCGACAAACTGAAAATATTGAAAATTGAAGATTTGTACAATAATCTGATGGATAATATGAACGATAACATGTAAGTTAAATGTTTATGATTAATGAAATATAAAATAACATAATATATAATTGTGCGGGCCGGGAGCATAAAATAATAATACGCGAGCCCGGACACCAATAAATCACCTTACACCACTAACACCTAATTCCTGGAATTATGGAGAACAAGCTGGATGTGTAATGGTGTAATAGCTCGAACAGTAGTGGTCGGGATCGCCTAGCAATTACTGTCGGCTATGTAGTGCGTGTTGTGTAATTATGTGTAATTGTGTATAAATATGTGTATGTGTGTAGGTGTGTATACAATTAAACAAATAGGTAATAAAAAATGGTAACACGGTTTCTGATAGCTGAGTTGCTGTATAATACACAATAATAATAATAATACAAATATAAAAAAATCACAGCAACACAGTAGGTATAAAAATATGATATTGAATAGCCCTTTTGGCCCAACCGAAATAATAATAATAATATAAGGAAAATATTTACGCAACTATAAAGAATAATGTGACCCTTTTGGTCCAACAATATATATAGTAGTAAAGTTAACAATAAATGACCGGCCCTTATGGCCAACCGAAATAATACAAATGTTGACGCAGCTATTTGAGCTGAAGCTCGTATAAAAAAACAATATATAGCCCTTCTGGCCCAACAATTGAATATAATATATAATAAAAAATAGTAATATAAATAATGAAACGAAAAAAAACTCACAGTTTGTGGAGCGCAACTGGCCAGCTGGTCCTGTCCTATAATGTGAGGACAATAATACACAGAAATGACAAAATAATAGTATATAATATAAGTATTGCCTTTATGGCTCACAATAATAAAAAATAATTTGTGCACGGTTGTGCTGGCACGGCAGTTGATGCACACTCAAACCAAAAATAATAATATAATATGAAGTTGCCCTTATGGCTCACAATAATACAAAAAAAAAAACAATAATATATAACTTTTAGCACAAGCTAAAGCACAAGCACGAGACAAAAAATCACGGCGGCCGTGTTAAAATATTATTTGGCTTTATCTACGTATTATATAATTCACAAGACACATTCAACGATAATAATAATAAAACAATACAAATAGTGATATGTGAGTGTGTGTGTGTGTGTGTGTGTGTGTGTGTCCAGCTGTTCCCCGGTGACCGATGTCCTATAGGTATTCTTATTTTTAATTGAGTAGGCAGTAGGTACTATGTTGCGTAATGCTTTTATGTTGCGGCGGCAACAATAATATCAAATTAATTCATATTATGTAAAATAAAATTGAATATTAAATATTTTCAAATAAAATAAAAATATTAATAATTTAGTTAAGTTTAATTTTAAATATAATTAGTATAACAGAAAAAATAAAAAAATTAAATAAAAATAAACTTAAAAATTGTAAAAATTATTGTAAAAAAAAATATTATTTTATTTTTAATAATATATTATAGGTTAACTACTGTAACTGGTAGATACCATTCATAAAAATCAAGTATAAATTGAACTAAATTATTGTAATATAATAAATTTTAACCAATACAAATAAAAAATAAATACTATGTTTAGGTTTTTTACATTTTTTTTTTTAATATATACTATATTATAATACTAATGTTGTAAATAAATGTTTTATATTTACAGGCAAAAACTGAAAAATAAAATAGTAATTATTGATTTTGAATTCACAAACTATCAACGTACTGATTTAATACTTATTTCTACAGCATTATCACAGACTCATATTGTTACGAACGGCCCTTCAGGGATCCAAAAGCTGTTGCACTTTTACAATAAAATGTAGTCAATTTAAATATAAATCAATTGCAATTTATTTAAACCAATAATAATTAATATAGTCGTGGTGAATTGCAGCGTCGTGAGTTGACTCGTTGTAGTAGTTGATAATCTCCATGTAAGTGGTGTGTAATGGCTGGTGCTTTAAGCTGCTCGCTCGGTCTTGGCGGCTCTGGTACATCTAATGTGTATTGGGGCCCGGGCCTCTATATATACGAATATACGAAGGCGACGCCCTTTGAATTGAGCGGCGCGTGGCATGTAGGCGCCCTTGGAAAGTTGTTGTGGTTTGAAGCGTCTATTCTAGCTATGACCACTTTTGGGTGCGGTCGACGAGGCCGCCTTTAATATAAATGGTTCTTGTTATTATGAAAGTTTACATGAATTGCGTAATCCCATTACAATGTAATACCTAATTCATCAGAAAAATATATATCGTTTAGTAAATCAATTCAAGATAAATTTAATATAACATTTATTGATACATTTCGTTTTATGTCAGAGGCTCTTAGTTCATTAGATGATAATTTATCTCATGACAAAACTAGATATAGGGAAACCTTTAAAAATTTTTCTTTGTCGACTTTAAATTTAGTTACACGTAAAGGTGTATTTCCTTATGAATATATTGATCATCCTAATAAATTAAATGAAACATGTTTACCGTCAAAACAAACCTTTTATAATTCGTTAAAAGACGAAGAAATTAGTGACGAAGATTATACACATGCTCATAAGATTTGGAAAAGATTTAATTTAAAAACATTAGGGGAATATAGTGACTTATATTTAGCAGTCGATGTATGCTTACTTGCTGACGTTTTTGAAAATAAATTTTAGAAATCTTTGTTTGCAAACACTTAAATTAGATGCTTCACATTACATGACCGCTCCAGGATTTGCATTTGATTGCATGTTGAAACATACTAATGTCCAACTAGAACGGCTTAAACAATACGATTTTCAATTATTTCTAGAGAATGGATTACGCGGCGGAATTTGTCATTCGGTTAAAAGACACGTAAAAGCAAACATTCCTAATATCGAAAATATTAATTATGATTCGAATAAGCCTGTAACGTGGTTAGCTTACCTGGACTGTGTAAATCTATATGGAAAGTCTATGCTATCCGCTTTACCTTATTACAATTTTGAATGGTTTGACGATTTATCGATAGATATAACACAAATTTAAGATGATGCTGAATATGGTTATATTTTAGAAGTAGATGTTATTTACCCCAAACGATTACATGAAAATCATAATGATTTTCCATCTTTACCTGAAAATAAATGTCCACCAAATTCTAAAGTAAAAAAATTATTAACAACATTAGAATCAAAATTAAATTATGTAGTTCATTATAGAAACTTAAAACAAGCCATTGCCAATGGATTAAAAGTAAAAAAAGTTCATAGGATTCTTCGTTTTTCACAATCGAAATGGATGGCACTATAAATCGAGTTATGTACGAATATGAGGGTTGTCACGAAATGAGTTTGAGCGTCAATTTTGGAAGTTATTGGTTAACAGTGTGTTTGGAAAATGCAAGAAAACCGATGTTAATGACACTAGTTTCTAACGAGAAAAAAGCCCATCGTTTAATGTGTAAAGCGACATTTAAAGATAGAACTATATACTAGAAAAACTTAATGGCAATTCACATGAATAAAGAAAAAAATAAGTATGATAAACCTATTTATGTTGGATTTGCAATATTAGATATTTCAAAAACGATAATGTATCATTTACATTATGATATAATGAAAAACATGTATGGAAATAAAATTAATATTGTCTATTCAGATACTGATTCATTATAATTAATTTATGAAATTAGAACTTTTAACTTTTTCGATGACATAAAACATAAATTACTTTCTTACTTTGATACATCAAACTATCCTAAAAATTATTATTGTTATAGTGATCTTAGAAAAAATCAACCAGTTAAATTTAAAGATGAAATTAAATCTGAAATATTATTAGAATTCATTGCTTTACGTCCTAAACTTTACGCGTATAAAACAAATAGCGAAGAAGTTAAAAAGCTAAGGGTGTAAAAAAGTATGTAATAAAACACATAAAATTCAACGATTATTTAGAAATATTAAATGCTTATACTTATAATTTATCCGATCAAAAAATATGTATAACTATGAAATATATAACTATGAACTTTATACAGTCATAAACCATTTTGTTTATTCTAAATCTGTAAATAAAATTGCTCTTAGTGCATACGACCAGTGACGCCGATCCATTTATAAACATCTGGGGTAAAACCAAAAACCTATTTTATACCCACCCACCCAAAAAAAATTTCTCACTACGCTCGACAGTACAGGCATAATAATTTAATTATACAATTTATTTTATTTTAGGTATAAGAAACATTTTTTTTTATACTATACTGTACATAAAAATATAAAAAACATAGTTCAGAAATTAATATCTTACCTACGTCGTAGGTGGTAGGATAACTGACAAATACTTAACTACAATAAAAAAATTAAACAACTAACTGCTGCTATGTATAATATTAAATATGAAGTACTAAGTTGTTATTGTATTTTGGTATGCTCCAGTAATTTTTAAGTAAATATTTAATAAATTCCTATGTATTTCTCAAAATAGTAAAAATAAAAATTATATGTAATACAAAAATGATTATAAATAAAATATATATAAATAAATTAAGTTAATATTTTTAACAGTTTATTACTGTTTTTAGCAAAATTATTAATCACATTGTCTGTATTAATTGGAACATCCTGTTCGCATGCAATGCGCATAAGTCCCTCCAATCTCGACTCAGCCATTGTAGACCGCAATCTTGTTTTTATAATTTTAAGATCGAGAAACTACGTTCAGTAGAAGCACTGGACACAGGTAGCGTCACAGCGATTTTTAATAACATATAAATATTAGGCAGTGTAAACCTTATATTTGAGCTGCAAAATAATTTAAACATAATATATATAAGGGAACTGCTGTTTGTACATTCTTCGATGGGACATTGAGAAATTAATTCTTCATCAGACTCGGAAATGTGCGATTCAAAATCTGAAGAATTGGTTGATTCATTATCCTCATCCTTATGAAGATATTTAGTTAAATTTATTGTTTTTTCTAAATTTGAAAAACAATCAATAAGCCATAAATATTCTGTATTTAATGCTTCTGCATTTAAAAATGTTGAATATATCGACGCTATGCCTTCAAATGCATCACAAGGTATTTTGTTAGTATCCATTTTTATTTCTAAAATTCTTTTTTTTGTAAGAAGGGATAAATCTTTAAAAATAGATATAGTGTCATTGTTAAATTTCTGATCAATCTGACTGCATATGATATCAAGCACCGTGTAAAAAGTGTGATATTTAAAATTAGTCAGAGGGTCAGATGTTGGTTCATCGGTTGCTTTCTCCCCGGACATTATTTTTCTTTTTCTTGACCGTTTTTGTGGTAACGGAGTAAAATTTTCATCCAGATGATTTTGAATAAATTGCTTCACTTCGATGACAATTGAATTAAATTCATTGCGAATATTTAATAATTGACCTATTTTTGATGTTATCATTGATGATGCAGTGATAAGATCTATATCAATCGCTTGAAATGTTTTGCTTAATGGATCTAGTACAGAAAATATTTTTTTAAATAAAAAACATGTATAAAGAAATCTTTCAGATTGAAAATATGAAAGAAATGACGATGCATCTGATGAAGCTTCTGATTTCCAAAGATCTTCCAGTGTATCAACTAAGGATGCCCAAGTCAGTAAAACTGTATTAAGAGCTGTAGAATGGCTACTCCACCTAGTAGTAGTTACACGTTTCAAACGACGAACCGGCAAATTAGGGTTTCGGATTTTTTGATTTTGTTCAAAAAGGAATACACGGTTTTTACTGCTACATACAAAGTCAAAAACTCTTCCTAAAATTCCAAAAAAATCAACTGCTTCAAGGCAACTTGCAACACCTTGTTCAACAACCAAATTTAAACGGTGAGCCCAACACCAAATATAAACTGCATGAGGATTTTCACTTTTTACTTTTGCCTGTAAACTATTGTACTCACCCCTCATATTGGCGGCACCGTCATATGATTGACCTATTAGGTTTTTTTTCCAATTAAGATTGGTTTTATTGAAAACATTAAGGAAAATATTAAATAGTGTTTCACTTTTAGTAGAGGCAGTAGAACACATTGCGAGTAAACGTTCATATATCATACCATTACTTTCATCAACAAAACGCACTATGAAAGAAACTTGTTCTTGTCTTGAGATGTCAAATGTTGTATCAATAGATATGCTGAAAACACAAGCAGTTTCAACTTTTTGTGTGATTGAATTGAAAATTGAATTTGAAATAGCATCGATTAACTGGTTTTGTCGTTGCCAGGATATTAAAGATGTAACAGATTTCCCCTTCTTTTTTAAACAAGTAATGTAAGACGATAATACAGGTGAATATTCAGCTAATAAATAAACCATATCTTTAAAGTTTCCACGAATAGAATCCGTCCACTTTTCTTTATGACCTCTAAATGCAAGTCCATGTTTAGCTAAAAATAGCGAAATATCTATTAGTTGTTTTACAACTACTCTGTTGGTTTGAACCTCCATTTTCTTTTTTTCTTCTAACGCTGGTAATAATGGTGAACAATGTTCATGTATAGTAGCATCAATTGAGGCGGCTATGTGTATAGTTGAAGTTTCATGGGAAGTTAATAAATGGTTACCATCTTTCCAACGAGAAGTACCATCAATAGTCCATGCCTTCTTAGGAGATTTACCAAACAACATACAATAAATGCAAAATATTTTATCAGCTGATATTGAATACGATAACCATTTACGGAATCCCATTGACCCATTAGGCAAAGTTTTAGTGTACCATTGAGCACGGAAACTGTATTTGTTTGTTCTTGGTAATTGTCGGAGTGGCATCTGCTGAGTAGTTGGTTGACAAGGACCCAAACATAAAATATACTTCTTCTGTTCAAAACTTAATTTTGTAATGGTATTAGAAAATCTTACAGGATCATTATCTACCATTGAGTCAACTTGTCCTATTACTCCTATTATCAAAATAGTTAATTATTTATAGTTGGATCAGGAAACTATAATAAATTTACATTTTACTCAATTATTACCTGCCGATGAAGCCAATTCACAGTTTACTATATTTTTCTCAGGAGAAAAAAAATAGGAATAGTATCTGTGACATTAGTTTGTCCCAAATCCTCATCTTGATTTTCAACATCAACAGTAGAAACACCAATATCTTAAAAAAAAAAAAAAAATTAAGATCAGAAAACTATAATTTATATTATACTAAATTATTACCTGCCGATGAAGCCAATTCACAGTTTACTATATTTTCCTCAGGAGGAAAAAAACTAGGAATAATATGTGTAGTATCTGTGACATTCATTTGTCCCAAATCCTCGGCTTGGTTTTCAATATAAACAGTAGAAACACCAATATCTTAAAAAAAAAAAATTTAAGATCAAAAAACTATAATTTATATTATACTAAATTATTACCTGCCGATGAAGCCAATTCACAGTTTACTATATTTTCCTCAGGAGGAAAAAAACTAGGAATAATATGTGTAGTATCTGGGACATTCATTTGTCCCAAATCCTCGGCTTGGTTTTCAATATCAACAATAGAAACACCAATATCTTAAATAAAAAAAAATTCAATATTGTCAAATGTGATGCGTTTTGCAATACATTTAGTAGAAGTTTCAAGTTGTTGATATTTATTTTAAGTTTGTTATAAAATGATATTTTATTATGCAATACAGGGAGTATTAGAATTAATTTTAAAGCTGGAAGTGTTAATTTTTTTTTTTTTTAAAGTTTAATTGTTTATTAAGATTTGTATTTATAACTAATTAAAAATTTGTTGATATTAGTTTTTAATTTGTTATAAATTGGTATTTTTTATGCAATATAAGGAGTATTCATCTTTTAAATACAAACAAATTGGGTAACTGCACCAAAACAAAAACATTGTAAAATTTTTTAATAATAAAAAATAAAGTAATTTGAATATGCCTATATGTTTCTTAGATACCCAAAAGTATTCAATAAAAGTTTCAAAGTCCTAACTCAAATACTTTTTTTATATACAGAAATAATCAAATGATATACAAAATTTGGTCCAGTCACCCCATGTTACGGTGCATAATAAATAATAAGTACTTTATAACCACTAATCATAATTATTTGAACTGATATTACTTACAATAATAAAATAATTATATTCTTTTGACATTAAAATTAATTTGTTAACAGTTAAAAAACCGATATCTCTCTAATACTCTATCAGACTTATTTAGTAAAAGGTTTGGATTAGTCAGTAGTCTAAACATATACCTAATAATTAATAAGTATATCTTATTCTCAAGCTTTAGATACCTTTATATTTATTATCATTTCAAAATACTGAAAATAGTATATCTATGTGTATTTTTAAAAGTAATTCTAAGTTAAAACTAGATAATTACTAAATTGTATTTATTAATATTAGTAAACACTTACCTTTGGAACATGATGGTTTAGAAAAATACTTGGTAATTTTTATTTTTTCAGTTTTTTCAGTCATTTTAATTTTTTTACAACTTTTAATATGACGCGTCCAATTAGTAGTATTTAAATTCCCCTTTCTTTTTCCACATACACACATACTCGTATCCATAATAGTTAATAATTAATAAAAATAAATTGTTTTATTAAAAAATAACAACTAATTAATACACTTGTATATTAATAATTATATACTTATATTACTCAATAACGTGGTAGTACAAAAATATAAAAAATACATCACATTCACATCAAGACTAGCGCTAAGCTCATAATATTGATAGACCGATAGACGTCAATAATTGATAATGGGTAATCGTCTATCTATTCAATAATGTTCGAGTGACGACTAATAACAATAAAAGTAGATATAAATAGCACACAACGGTAAAATTTCCCAAGCAGCCGCCCGCTTGACGCCTGTATGATAACGTTTGGATGGATATCGGCAATACTGAGAATCCGAATACTGCCGATTAAGCTACGGTTTATCATGTTTATCTGTTTCAGCGTGGTGACACAAAGCTTGTATAAATAATATAAATATTATACTACATTGACGACCTAAAATCTAGGTATAGGCGTATACGGTATACCTTATTTTAGTTGTCCATTATGTACAGGTCAGCTACCCACCCACCCACCCATTAAACCACTGGGGTATTTACCCCACTAGATAGTCGTGTTCGGCGCCACTGCATACGACGATAAAAGAATTATTATGCATGACGGTATTAATACTATTGCGTATGGACACTATCTGTTGGGTACGGTAATATTAGCGCTTGACGGATGTCGCGGTGAACTTGTGATCCCGCCCCGCGATGTTTATGTCAACGAACCGGTCGCGCTTACGTCGTTTCGCACGTTGATCTAAGATTACCGTGCACCCGGCGTTGCCTCTTCTTAACAGTCCTATGATAAGATATCGTTTGGTGTTGTCGTGTGTGCATTCGCTCGCTCTCGTTCCTTTTTTCTTCGTGAAAAATGTGAGACGTTACTTTATTAGTTTTACTGTTGTTGTCTTCGCGTTGCCGTGTTGTAAGTAGGTACGTCGTCGTAATGTGCGCCCTCGCCGTCGTCGACATCGTGTTGCCGTCTTATTAAAACGTCGCGTTTGTGCCATCGTTGCCACCGACATTCACGGTTTGTCGCCGCGTTTATTCACGTCGTGTGTGCGCCATCGCCGTTACCGACGTTCACGGCCCATCGCAGCTTTACCCGCGTCGCGTGTGCGTCATTTGCCGCCACCGGCGTCCACGGCCGTCGCCGTTGTAGAATACCAATTCGCGTGTGTGCCACTCGTTGGCACCGACAATTCGTCTACGCCGTCGCCGTCACCGTCGTCGTGGTAATTGGCATTGTGTCTTTTCGGTTGACGCCCCCTCGTTGCGTCTTCATGAATTACATCGTCGGACATCGTCAGGCCATCCAGGGATAAATCCGGTGATGTTCATTGTTTACTTAAGTCATTAATAAAAATATCAATGTCTGTAAAATTTATTTTGTTAATATAGTCTTATATTTAAGGACCCCCCCGTCCCGTTATCTGTACATTTAATAATAATCTTTAGTTTCAATACAGGCTACTAAAATTATAATATCCGAGCCTTTTTCCTAATAAACTCATCCACCACCTTGTAACTATCCGGCGTTTCAGGTTGCCGGCAATATCCCGCGCCATTCACGTGCCATCAGGGAAAGTCGCAGCCGCACACTATCTTTTTAAAAAATAGTACATGTCTTTTATTTTAAATATTCGTTGAATTTTATGTGTTTGTCTATAACATACTTTTTTTACACCATTAGCTTTTTTAAATTGAATAAAAGTGAATATGTAAAAAAAAAATTAATACTATGTAAATTAAATATAGATAATGAAATAAAAAAAAAAAACGCAAATAATATAACAAAACATTAATTATTTTTTATTATTATTTCAAAATTCATATTTATAATTTAATTAATTAATTGAATCAATACCGTACATTGTAATGATGATATAGTTTATAAAATCTGAACAATATGTATTGATTGGTATATTTCGTTTAATTACAAATTTACTTATTAACTGTTTGCGCACCGTCACGGAGCTATTGAACCTTTGGTCGTTAGCTGGCCGTACGACACTTGCGGCGTGTATTTGCAAGCTGAAGTGACTTGTGTGTGTAAGAAGAGTAAGCTAACCTAACAACTTACAATACTATTAAATAAGCGAACACGAATTGAAGATGTGCACTGGTGGCACTGAACAACTGTATTATTACAAGGTAGAAAATAGTCAAAACAATAGTGTTATAATCGGGGGGGTATGATCATACCGTACAATGACCTACTGACGGGGAATGGCGATGTACAAATATATACTAGGTAAACAATAACAAAATAAGTCTTATCTGCCGGTGGTAGTGGTGACAATGGCCTGGACTGATAACAGCTGACCCCTGGACACGACGATGACAACAGTGGTACCAACTGACTACAACACGATGGGAACGGTGCACCGTTCGAACGCGGTCTCAGAACAGTTCTTCCAAAATCTAATATTCCTGATAATATCATGGAAGAACATTGTTGCCAACATAATTTATTAATGGCCCTAGACCATATTAACGGTATTGCCAACATGTTTTAAAAATATTAATTAATACTGCATAATGTACTTATTAATGCATTATTTTAATTTATTATAACGATATTGTTTAATATAAGTTATAAACTTATAACCTACAAATTAGAATATCTGTATTCTGTCAGTAAATAGAGACACATGA